ATCATTACTCCAGTCACATGATCCTTCAGAAATCATTCTAATATTCTGCTAAGAAAACTATTATTATTATTATTATATTGAAAACAGCAGAGTAGAATTTTTTCAGGTTTCTTTGAAAAATAGAAAGTTCAGAAGAACAGCATTTATCTGAAATATAAATCTTTTGTAACATTCTAAAGGTCTTTATCATCACTTTTGATAAATTTAAAGCATCCTTGCTAAATAAAAGTTATTTGAACAAGCTAATCAAGGTCAGAAGGGTTACTAGAAAGCTACAGGCAGGTGAGTTTTAATTAGGGTTGGAGCTGTACTCTGCAGGGCTGCGGCTCTCCAGGACCGGAGTTCGCCACCGCTGGTATAGTGTATAATGTTACAAAAGCTTTTTATTTCAGATAAATTGATTTTATTTTTTAAATTATCTATTATTTTAATGAATATATCTTTGGATCTGTTACACCCCATGGCTCAAAAAGGACGTAACAAAAACGAGGACACACAATAAAGTGTGAATAATATACAAAATAGAACTATACAGAAAGAAATAATGTAACATGAAGCAGTCAGGAATCAGTGGTGTAAAGTTAAGTGAATGCATGAAAGTGTAATGGTCTGTAGCAATGTTGGATGTATAAAGTAAACAAGGTTAAACAGAAACCAAATGAAACAAAGTCCAAAATGCAGCTCGCCCCTAGCCAGTTGTCATACTGCTTTTTAAAAGGAAAGACAGGAAACCAACAACAGGTGTCCTCGATGAACCTATCGGAGAACAATCAGTGGTAAGGCGGAGCAATACCACAATTCAACCCAGAGATGCCGCACATAACGCATGGGTCGTCACACTCCACCCCTTAAGACAGGGGTCTGTCAAGAATCCCTGTAATATACAAAACAAAAATAATTGGGTAATTGAAGTGCAGTTAAATATTTTGCAGAGGAGCACATGACAGTGCATCAGCGACAATATTTTCAAATCCTCGAAATGTCGAATATCGAAGGAGTAAGCCTGTAAAAACCAAGACCAATGGATGAGCCTTTGATTCGGACAATGAAAATAATTCAGAAACGTCAACGGGTTGTGGTCCATGTAGACAACAACTGGTTGACCCAAACCAACAAATATCAAAATGTTGTAACGCCCAAATCAAAGCGAAAGCTTCCTTTTCTACCACAGAATAATTCAGTTGATTGATATGAATTAAACTTGCGGGAGAAGAAACTGACAGGGTGGACCACGCCTTCCTCATCGTCCTGTTGGAGGACAGCCCCTGCATCAACTTGACTTGCATCCACCTGTAAATAAAAAGGCCTCTCAAAACAAGGGGCAGCAAGGACAGCAGAAGAACACAAATATTTGACATTTTCAAAAGCCAGTGCACAATTTGACGACCAAACTAATTTTGCCTTAGGCTTTAAAAGATCAGTAAGTGGTGCGACAACTGAAGAGAAATTACAGCAGAAGGAACGGTAGTAACCTACCAATCCTAAAAAAACGCATAAGCTCCTTTTTTGTTATAGGAACAGGA